CGAAAATGGTCACGCGGTTTTGGAGCCCAACTAATCCCCATCTCTCGTTCAGTAATTAAACATTCCAATACCTGACCGTCGACAATAGGCAGCTATTAGCTAAAAACTCATATACATGGTTAATCGATTAGCGGAGTCTGTTCAATTTAGTTCAGTTTATTTGAGGGAAATATAGGTGTTGAACCTTTGAACTCCCTATTTGTTACAAGGAAGTGAACTATATCAAAAATTTGAAAATAAAAACATCAAACAGCTACAGAGTTTCTTCAGATTGGTAAAGTTTTCGAAGCCCGACAGATAAACTAATTGTTCCAAGAGTCTGTATAAAGCAGCCACAAGGAATTCGGTTTGTCCCCAGAGTTTTACAGATGGCTTTTCTAATAATATCACTCATCAAGTCACTACTAATAAATCGATCCGGAATTATTAATTGGACGGGATTGGAGCCGTCAAGATAGGACGAATTGGGCTCAACCTTAATTTTCTGTTAGGCGTTGACTTCTAAGGCGTTCAACTTCGGACGCTCCAAATTGTTAATGCCAACTACTAGTGGCATAATTCGTTATTCGAACTTTACTTCATCACACTTTTGGTGCGCATATAGGCTAACATTCCGTATTTCCGTTTTGTCCGTATTTTGGGAGGTCTGGTGTGACCTTACGTTTTGTCAAAAGAAATTTTTTTAAGATTTCGCTTGATAATTTCGGATTGAATTATGTGTGGCGACTTTATCTCAGTTACCCTATCAGTGTTGTCTATTGTTACCAGTGTGGTACTAAATTAAAGCATAAATCAAAGCAGCAAAGCAGCTTTCGATAGTGTAACGCTGTCTACAAAAAGTGGGCAGAGTCGGAGCGATTTTGTTAACAAGACTCTTTGTAGAAAATATGCTTGTGCAATGGACTGAACAATTATCTGAAGAGTGTTTCTATGTCACAGCATATTTCATTGAAATCCAGTGACACTTACACAACGGTTCTTTTGCTAGGAGGTCGATATCAATCATCTGTTTAAGATCTTCGGGAGTGGTTTTAACAGGAAGAAATTAATTATTCAAGCAGGTGACCGCATAATTATCTACACTGATTTGAGCCCATGTCACGCGAAGACAGACCTACTGCGTCAGCGACGTATAAGTCCCAGTTACTGCATGTGGGCCTTTAAAAAATGCTTGCAACTGAACGTTACCAATTGTCCAGATGTATGACGGCTTGGAATGCTCCGTTTAATCTTGGTGAAAGTTCAAGGCACCGAATTCGTTTCTTATCAAATGCCCTTGCATTTTTACAGACGCTTTGGCCACTGACACATGAATATTGTGTTATTGGTGGGATGGAATTTCGGATATCCTGTATCTTTATCCCTAACTGGAAGGGATGCAGACAACATTTTCGGCAAGGTTTGGTCCTATAGCCCCACTTGATGGATACTGTAATAATAAAACAATATTAGATAACATACATAACTTAGGCCCTCTCTGGATAAGGGAGGGAAGGAGAGTGCAAGCAGAGCTCCAAACACGTGCAAGGAAGCTAATGAAGGTGGCATATACACATTCATCCTGACAAAGCCACTTCCTGGATTAAGGGGATAAGGAGGGCGCAATCACGACTGGAAAGCCGCGGAGCGAACCGTGTGGTAATTCGCAGTGCATGGCCACTGTGGTGCAACCGACGGAGTTCCACACCGTCCGAGCGATTCCATTAGCAAGTCTATTTAGCCACTCGCTGGATTCAGATAATAAAGAGGGCTCAAGCAGGGAAGCGCGTGTGAACTGATACCTGAAGTAACCGAGGCTGGCGTATAAGCACTCCTCCCCCGTGGCACAGTCACTCGCTGGATTAAAATGATATGGAACCTGCAAATGCTTGATATTTGTAAAGTCAGCATATTCACATCTACAAAAGTTTTTTAGAAAGCTAACCATGTGGTATCATTCAGGTGGGGCTGAAGGACCAAATCTCGCCAGATTTTCCGTTCAAAAAGGGGTAATGTAATGAATTCAAGCACTCTACACCGCACCCATACGACCAGCCAAGATTATATGTTCACCTTCACTTCTTGTTTACAATTTGTATCTTACACAGGTTAGCCATAAGTTGCACGGAGGTTAGGCACTCAGGTATTCCTTAAATGGCGTTAACTGTAAAGACCGCATTGAAATTTGCCAGTTTAGACAATCTTGGATTTGAGATCAGCTAAAATTGTGTCTTTCTAACTGTTTGCCAAATCCCCAATCTTTCGGGGGACTTACACATAACACAGCACAAAGTTTCTCGCACTACTGCCTCAACCTTTACTTAGTTCTTACGTGGACGCTGGCTTGTTCACATTCCAATAGATAGTCCCGCATGAAGTATCATGGACAGGTAGGGTAACTAAGGAAGTTCTGGAAGATATGAGTCTCTGGAAATTGTTCTTTGTTAAAAAAAACTAACAGGAGTAATACAGCCTGTTTAACATTATGAGCTGTAGCTCTGCTTTGCTAAAGGCACATCCCCAGAGTGCTTGTTAAGTGTGACACTTGAATGTTTTCATTCACTGACTCACATCGTTCACCATTAAAGCTTAAAGTTATTTCACTGAGGCCTTAAAAAGTAAGGTCAGTTTTCCGTTGGACTGCAAATCCTAACAAGATCGTGCATCAAAGACCATATAATTGCCGTCGATGAACATGTCTTGGGGTTTCATTTTCTTGAAAATAATTTTGTTGCATTTGAATGAACCTGAGCCTCATTGTTTAATATGGGTCTGCCATTCTTAAGAACTCATTTACGCATAAAGAAACCGAAGGATTTTCTAAGATTTCAGTTATTACATCGGCCCAATGTTGTGGGAAAATATGTGAAAAAGGAAACGAGCGAAAACGCCGCATCGGACCCTAATTTTGGCCAGCACTTTCGTACATCAGTAACTTCTCCAAAACCATTAACCGTCTTCCAACGCCAATCGGGGTTTGTGCCTGCACGCAGACCGGAGGCAGCAATCCGGCTCCAGGTTAATGGGTCAGTAGATCCACTGCCACGACAGGAAACGTCTGGAGTTGCTTACCGTATTTGGTGTATTTGCCGGGAGAGAAACTCAGACAGAGAAACTGTGAGGCTGCTCCGATGGGGATGGCCAGTCATGCAAGAACAGCTGGGGGGAGACGATGCCAACTCTCAAGTCGTGATCACTCGACGGGATCCGGTCACATTTTCAGGTTCGGCAGAGCTTACATTCTCCCAAGTGGTGGCAGGCGTATGAGTCACTACCTGCTTGACTCACGTTGACAGATTGGCACTGATGATAAGGATAAATAGACTAGAATGGCCGCTTCTGGCCCATTAGTCCTCATCAGTCAGCCATGCACAACCCCAGGCATCTGAAATCTCAAGGCTCGGTCATGGTATTCTGCCCATAATACCATCCGCTGATCCGCCGCTGGCGGGACTTTAGATTGAGTTGCAAGCCATATCGCGATCGGTGATCGCCCCCTAGCGTAGTTATTATACCCGGTCGCAGCCGACAGGACAACGAGCCAGTAGTTCAACGTTGGACTTCCGACCGGAAGCTCGCGGATCTGAGGTCCAGGGGTTTCAAAGGCCTGGGGTTGGGTACGACTGATGAAAGCTACTAGGCTACAAATAGCCATGCCAGCGTCTGTTGTCATTGTGGGTAATGTTATTTTATCCATAGTACTAGCCGCTGAAAGCCTTCTGGGGGAACTCAAAACTGGGTCCCAAGACACAAGGGGACAAGCGTGTCCCTTAACGTGACCGGTGATTCCCCTCAGTCATTATTAGCAGTCATTGTATCCTATGAAATTACCCTTTTTGGCTTGTTTGACGTCGTCTCTCAGTCGAATCATAGCCTGGGGCCCATAAGAGCCAAATTTTGACTTATGTTAGGTTGGTCCTTGATCAAGCTGAGCTGTTGTCCCAATTTCCGTTCTTTGGCGAGATCAGGTTGTTACTCGACCTTCTGGCATGACTTTCGGTCTGCCCGATCGCGGCCCAAAGATTCTGAGCCAGTGACCCACAGGTAGGGCGCTTGACTCGCTGCTCAATGACCACGGAGCTCCGGTTCTTCCTAGTCTGGTGCTGGTATATGATTTACTGAAGACTTTAGGTAAGCCAGAAATACTCGTTTAGCCTTTCCTAACTCTGCCTGTAGGGCTTTTTGATTAGTTGCGGTACGCAGGCATAGGAGAGCCTACTTGCACCCCACTGTGTACCAAAACTCATTTTCCGCTCCGTAAGCATAGCATCTCATTGGAAGCCACGTGGAAGTGACTCTGAAAGTTTACTAGTTTTCATGATTGACGAAAATCGCCGTAACAACTCCAAAGTAGAGCTCTCAATGGCCAGATGAGGGAGGTCATCAGTTAGGACCCGTCTAGCGAATAATACTCTTTGACTGTGTACACCTCAAAAGTTCTGATAGTTTGCTATTAACTACTTTTATCTGAAACCGAAACCGATCGGCATCGTTGACTTAACATAAGTCAAACAGTGTGGACCGCCAGAGTTCAGACCATCTGAGATTAAATGCTTTAACCAAGAGCAGACTGGACAGAGTAGTAATTCAACATGTCAGTTACATCTTCTGAGGACAACATATGTACACAGGGACGGCAATTTCAAGTTAGACGGTGCATGCAGTGTGCATATGTGATAACAGCGTTTACTTTTAATGAAGTCGGGGGGGAGGTTGGCTGATGATGTCTGAAGTCCTGAAAGACGTTGGTTTTGGAAAGACTTACACTTTGTCGGAGAACACTATAATTGCTCGTTTTTCTTCGGCCGACGTTTTTGCCATCCTGCACTAGATACTTTCAAAGGAATACTCTTGTATTGACTGAGTTTGCTTTATGCGTTTGACTGTGGGAGCGCTTTTGCTCACTGTTTATACTGTTGCCATCCAGATGATGAGTTCCGGTGGTCCCCACTTATAAAACTCGGCCTCATTCAGCCTCTCAGTGCAATGACAGAAGGCAGGGAAGTGAAGAGGTAGACATACTAGAGTCTCTTTTGTCGACCATCAACCGCAGCGATGTCCCATGCAGTCACGAGACGATTTAGCCTCTCAGTTAGAGAATTGCCTTCAGTGTTGTTGCGGGCACCACCATCCCCGCAACTCGAGTCCTCCCTGGGAGTCTCTGTGGATGCTGGAGGGCGATTGAGAGCGTGCGATGTAGCGAGAAGGGGAGTTTGACCGCCCGCCATCGACTGCAGTAAGCGAGCAATGCAAGTGGGACTGACAAACTGACTCCTCAGGCTGGTATTCTCAGTAGGATGTCCGAAAGGGGGGAGATAAAGAGGATTCTTGTTAGGCGACTGGTTAAGATTCAGTGGACGATCCAGTGCTGTTGGCGGTTGCGCTGTTGTGCATTCGGGTAAGTGTTTGTGGCTGTGGATTCTACCAACTGCCCTGCCAGGTTCGAAGACCATGTCAGTTCGAGGGTGCGACTCCAAACTATGTTCAGGAGGGAAGAAGGAACGCGGGTCGACGCCACTGGCAGTCCCCGCCTGTACCCGACAGCAGCCGCTGCTGCCGTTGCCAGCAAAAGTAGCGCGAGAAGTTGGTTTCGTACGTTCAAGGAGCTCCTCACGTTCCCAGTAAGGACAGCTCCGGTTGCTGTTCATGACCTGGGTCAAAGGTGTTTTGGTAGGTCTTAGCAGACCGTAAGCCTGTAGCTCCGTGAGGAGACTGTCAGGGGTCGGCGTCTGATCGCGTCGAAGCTTCGATGTCGATGCAGGTAGTCTCCCAGTATATCGACCAGAAGGAGCCGCGTTGCTGACGGCGACGGTTGGAGCTGTCATGCTGCAGAAACGAGACGGCGGCGCCTTTGTAGCATGATGAACGAAAGGTAGTTCGATCTCACGCTTATGATTATTCGGCCTGAAATAAGATGACGCTGTGGGCTTCGGTTGATATGTGCTACTTGGTTTGGCCGACAATCCCTAGATCAGGTCAAAAGGAAAGTTGAATGTTTGAGAAAAGTTGGAGGATTATTCTTCAATGGAAAAATGTAACATTCGGCATTTAGACGCTTGCGTTTGAAAACATTTTAATGAGCTTTTAGTCAGTCATCAATTTTCTAATCTTATAGTAGGTCGCCTTCCCAACGGACGATGTATCCCTTATTGCCTACTTTTGTCGGACATTTCGTGAAATCTATGAATCCCGAACATTCAGTATTCTTTTTTTATTTAAGATTAACATCACCATGACCGGATAATAAAATGTCTCTTCATGTACCTAGGCATTTTCTGATAGGGAGGGTAATTACATTGTACCGCACCATTACAGCGTTTACGTGGTACTCCATCACCGTTTTTAATCAATAAAATCGGCTTGCAGTGGAAAAATACATTTATGATTTTCCCTGTACTAAGCTTGATCTTGTTCAGGGTGGAGATTATTTTTTCTTAATAAATGAGTGTTCCCTGAAGCCGAGAGACGACTAAAAATATAGTACATCAAGCTGCTAATGAACACTTGCCTTCTGGAGATCCATGAAGCACTTCATCACGACAGCCATGTCCGGGGAACAGGGTGAAAACGTGTTCAAACTGGGTATGCCGGTGGGAAGCTTCGTCTCAATGCCTTCCAATCCACGAGCAAGCGAGCGACGCAAAAACGCGTTTTCAATGAAGGAAAGAAACGGTGGCTTGCGGCCCACTTCTGTACCAGGTTGGAGACCAGAAGTGTTGGAGAATTTTGCTGTTGGACGAGGTACAGTTGTTAATGGTTCTTCGTCGGAAACCTTGGCTGGATGTGTCTGCGCTTTGCAGGCAGTACTACTAGTCGGAATGTGTACATTCCGTACACCCACCATAGAAGGATTTTCGCTGCTTATGGGGGGCTGAATGAGAGCTCTTAGTTGGTGCTGCCTGGTGATGTCAGCTCTAGACGGAAAAGGGGCAGTCTGAACGTCAGTCTTGCTCTCAAAGGATGCAGTGCCCTGCAACTGCATGCCTGAATGCGACTGACTGTCAGGGGGTTGCTCTTTCAACCGAATTTCGTCAGCTAGCGGTCTTTTTTGCTGTGCAATTAGATGGGCGTCTGGGGCACAAGGAAACGCCGACAGGCCAGAGGGGTCCCTGGGCGAAAACTGGCAAGCAGCGGGGATAACCTTGGGCGCTCCTGCAGTGCGATGACCAATACGTGTGGAGCGACCACGAGCCCCTTGACAGAACGACCTAGCCTTCTGAATACTGGGTCGGCTGCCGGTCAGGGAGAGCCGAGTGCGAGAACCGCAGGCTTGTCTGCAATGGCTTCCCAACTTGGGCCCCATCATGGGCGTCCTTAGCATCGGTGCCAAGGGAGAAAAGTGGCCGCCAAACGGCAAAGCGTTCGCTTCTCCGCACTCCTCGGTAGGGAGACCCTCTCGACCAGGCTTATCGCCAAGTCGATGAAGGCGATGGGTGGTAAGCTCATAGTACAGGCGCTGGCGTTCAAGTTCTGACATTGACAAGAGTTCCGTGTGGCGCCGAATAGTGTGCCGCTTTATCGTGTCGAGTTTCCTTTGCGTCATTATCTTATGACACAGCAGACACATAACCTGCGTCAAAAAAGAAAAAATCACGAACTGTAGAAATTGTTTGGACTTTGAGAGGGTAGACCGTCACATGTAAACAACAGATCTGCATTCGATAGCCGCCTTCGTTTGCAGTGAAGCATCAGGAGTCTTGGTTCACCCGTCGACAAATAGGAAAAAAGAGCTGAATTCTCCTTACCAAATTTTACCGTGCTTAGTGGCTGTGAGACTTACTCCCACTAGCGAGAGCAGATAAACTTTTCAGGCTGTTTGAACGTTTCTCGTTGCGGTTGGTGGTAATGAGAATTTCGTACAAATAAAAGACTTGTGTTGCCAGACAGGGTCTGACTTTAGCTCTCCCAGTCAATGGACTACGGCGGATATACTCGTCAGCTGTTCAAACTAGTGTGTTTGAATTTTTTGTTCTGAAAGCGAGTTTGGCATAGTCCACGTAGCCTCACTACGTCCTGCCCAGTCCGCGGTAGCCCCAAAAAATTGGTGCCCGGTTTTCTTGAATGAGGTAAGGCCTGCAGAAGAGTTAGGACTCTCACGAATGGAGGCGAATGTTCGAATTCCAAATGTATGAGTCAGTGTGGAAGAAGAAGAAGAAGAAGAAGAAGAAGAAGAAAAAGAAGAAAGAGGAGAAGAAGAAGAAGAAGAAGAAGAAGAAGAAGAAGAAAAAGAAGAAGACTGATTGGGCACCGGAATCATTTGTTTATTTGTGTGAGCTATGTTTCCGAAGGTCAGCAGACATTGGGTTAGGGGACCGAGCAATAGCTGTTTTCAAGTTCTCTTCAATTCACAATTTTTTGAGAATTGACAAGGAGATTTGCAACAAGGACTGCAAAGATTTGTGATGTTTTATACTGCTTTCAAGATAGGTTTTTGAATGTCGTCGAATATCACTAGGTTAACTATAGGTTCCTCGAGATCATATTGACGGCTGAAGCCTGAACTACAAACACTTGAGGTCTAACTCGGTTTAGTTATGAGGTTACCGTCGGCAGTCAAACTACGGTTTTATCTCTATTGGTCGCTCTCTGCATAGATAGGACTAATGGTAGCTGTTTAAAGATCCAGTTTACTGGCTCGAGGTCCACAGCACAACCGGGGTTAGTGGTCAAAGTGCACCCTTATAGAATACACAAAAAAGATCACTCAGAGCGGCAGCCGGAGTAAGTGGCGGCTAGGATTGCAGTGCCGTCAAAACAGTTATATGAGCATAACGTGGCTGAAAACTACCAAAACTGGGTTCACATCGCAGAATATTTTTCCATAGTGATGTTCCATCAACTGCGGGGCAAAGCAACACTTGAGAATTATCCACATAATCGAGAGTGGCAGACAAACATTTGGGATGTAGGGCATGCTGTTCACAATAGAAACACAAGGCAAGCATATGCAACAGATTTCATTGGCGACAAAAAATTTTAAGGGGGCTTTGTTTAGCTGATTTCTCTCCCTTCGTAACATGGTTCACAAGTTCATAATAGGTAGTAAGTAGTTTGGATTTGTCCAACAAATTAATAAGCCAACGACAACGTCGTAGTTCATCGTATACATTTTAATAAATCAAAAAATCCCCTGAAACAAGTCAGAAAAGCCAGAAGAGGCGACATCCTCGAATAAAATGTCTCTGCGAAGTAAAGAACTAAGGATAACAAAGGCGGAGTTAAGTTTTCATAATGAACTAACTGCAGAAGACAGGTCTCTCCCTCCGCATGTAGCCTACCTGCAAATGACCCGGCGTTCGAACTATTCGTACACCAGATGGAGTTTGAAGACTAGCTTTGGATCAGCAGTGTACTAACTGTTTGGCAGATACATCCTGATAGAATGGTGGATGGTATTGTTTTATGATTCTTAAAGCCACATAGGCAAGTGTTCAGCAGGATTTTTTTGAATAGCCTTGGCATCCTCCCAGAAATATACTTGTTCTCCCAATTCCATGTCGATGCCCAAACGAAACTTGAGTTGGCGTGCATGGATAAGTTACCATTCATCGCTTTGACCATATCTAAGTGAGTTACCTCGCAAGATACCGCGATGGTCCAAAGTAAATTCGCTTGATCTTGATTGAAACACCTGAAAAATTAATATGACGGGTTTAACCGAAACTGTCTTACTGGCCAGTTTTTCTCTCATAATCGTGAACGTAATGGACCCAATGGCGACAAGCGTTCAGTGTTTCTTTGGGACGGGCGAGCCCTGCGTTCGGTGTTTTGCCGAAGCAACTTTTTTCTTACTCTTTAAAAACGTCGAGATAAGGGTTCGATTTTGTTATATCGACACAAACCCGGGAATTGTGGATATTGATCATTCCAACTATATTTACGGAGGACGACTTCCGATTAGTCAGTTATCCTGTTTATAGATAAAGACGCCCAGGAATGATTAATTTATGCTGTTTCCCAGTAATATCTAAATCATTGGCCTCCGTCATTGTTAACGGTCGAATCCATCTATATTTTCATGATTAGGCCCAGCAAAGTACACAAACACAAAAGCAAGTCTCATCGAAAGTCACAAATCATTTCTTGAGATTCCCCACGATCAACACCTTGGAACTCTCCTGTTTGCAAGCAATGTCTATCAAGATTTTGGAAAGCTTTCTCATTCTAGGACAGGGCCCATTCCTCAGTAACTGGGTGTAATAAAATGATTCGTTTAAAAATTTCACAACGCAAGTTTAAGAACGGACGCCTTCTGTCCTTTTCTTTCACTTTAGTGACCTGGACATTTAGAAGGACTGAATGCAGATGTTAAGTAAGGCTACCACACATTTTGATTTTGATGACGACAAATGTGTCTTCGATATACTGAATTCATAACACCGGTAGATAATAGTCAAAAGCCGGTACCCCTGGTCGTTGCAATGCCGCATTACCAATAAAAAAGGAAAACTGCGGCCCCCTTGGCGTAGCTCTGACTTCATGCATAAATTCGCCGAACGTGGAAAGAGTCTTCAAGAAACACTTATAGACCCCGGGGAAGTACATAGTTTTCGGTTTTCTAGGAGCAGTTCCGACAAGGACAAAAGAGGCATTGGTGGCCCTTTCTGATGTATTGGCTGTCATCAACCAGCCTTACCTAAGTCCATATTTTTTGGTACCCGGCTGTCGATCTCGCGTCCCCTGGTCATCGAGCACCATCAAGCCCAACACTCGATGATCAAAGAATGCGAGAACAATCCCCAGGTGCCGCAAAACCAGGGCCTATAAAAGGCTGCCTGGCAACGACTAACAAGCCAGAAACGGACATCCAAATCTCCCTCGTCTTTAAATGCAGTCTATACTACCAGTTGCTGGGCGGCTAACCGCAGAGCTCCAGATCGAACCCGAAACAAAACGGAACGGTAATGTCCCGCAACCCGATCGATGAATGCACTTCCAACATAAGTTAATATTCCCGTTACCAACCGGCAGGACAACGGATTCGTGGCTTAATGGTTAGAGAGTTAGACTGCATAATCCTGGTGACCAAAGAACGTGAGTTCGAGGCTCAGGTGCAGCAAAGGTTAAGTTTTGATAGGACTGGCCGACGACGGCTAATAAGTTAGAAATGGCCTTCCAAGTCTCTTTTGTCTTTGTCGGAAATCCCTTCTTTTTTGACCCAACTGTGAAAACTCGGTGAACCCGGTGAGATTCGAAGCCATAACAACAAGGAGAAGACTAAATTACAGCCGATCCTCTAGCCACCTGAGCTACGAAGCCCCACTGGGAGCCAATTGGTCGCTATGGGACTGTCTGCGAGGGTCCTAATTTGAGCTTCAGGGTTCAACGAGCGAGCATGTCCCGCAGATCGACTGATAAACGCACTTCCAACATAAGACTTAAGTTTGTTGTCTTGTTCGTTCTAATGTTCCTCCAATATAATTTTTACGGTTTTGACCGGTAAATACTGTAGGCTCGAGGTGGAACGTGTCATCTTTTCGCAAGACACATTCATCTTGTCAGTTTCAGAAGGAGATACATGTGACTTGTGATGCGATGATGTAGCTGGCTTGTAAACCTCTGGAAGGCGACAAAATTATTCCATCTTGGCATCTTTGAACGTCGTCGTTTGCTGGGCTGTCCTTGTTATTACCCTTGCGTTCCGAGGTCCTACTAGGTGACTGTTAATTTAATAGGTGAATGCTATTTACTAGCACTTCGTTAAATTATCTTCACAGTCGCTGTGAAGCGTCCGGGTCTTATTTACGTATTTTTCTTTGTTTGCCTTCACTGTCGACAGTTATTTGTCGGCTGGTAATATGACAATACTCTTGTCGGCCTTCATTGTTTGAAGTGCCTTTTCCTACCCTTTTAGAGGACCTGTTCTGTGCTCTATGGTACGTGAGTCTGGCGACGATTCGTCGGCCGACAGCATGGACAATAACAAAGACAGTCCGGGAAAAGAGTAAGTCCAAGAACGCCGAGATCGAGAATGTTGTCGCCTTCCGGAGGTTCGGCCGCCAGAAATGCCATTGCATCTAATCGCATCCGAGAGAGGGCTTCCTACATTTGTTATTTCATTCTCTAGGGTTCTTAATCCCATTCTCTTAGGCACCCGTTTACTCAACAGAGAAATTCTTACGCAAGTAAATTGTTGTTTGGCTTGAAACTGACAAAATGAATGTGTCTTTCGACGTGGTGTCATTTGCTACTTCTAGACTACAGTTGAAATGGCGTACGACTAACAAAAATATTGGCCGGATTACTTCACCGACTCACTTTACATTTAATCAAGGTACGTCAAATTTAAGTTAGGGTAAAACTAAGTAAATAAATAACGTCCTTATTAACTTCAGGCAAGCCAAATCATATGCAGGATTACGGTTTCGCATCGGTTCTGTATGCTGTCTATAGCAAATGAGTTCTGTCCTTGTTTTAGCACCAAACAGCTGTCTGTTGTTCCGGGGCTCTGGGATTCGTCCGCTGGGGATAGTTTCATATAAGCTGAATGGAATCAAGAAAGTGGGATCCAGCTGATCATGAGAAGTACCGAGTGACATGAACGATTTTGCAACTGCAATATCTTCAAATGGCGAAAAGCATTAGCAGGTTTCAACAATCAAAATCAGACTACACGATCACTTGAGCTCTCAAAATGGGACTATTGCCGCCTAACTGGCCAGTTGCTTTCCAATGGAATTCTGCCGACAGCAATAGAGGGCAGACACCAAAATGGCTTTTAGCTAGCTTACCGCAGAGTCAGTCATAGGCAACATCGGTGATTTGAGTTTTTGAAGTCCATCTGAAGAAGCATTTAACAGTCTTGGTCAGTCGGCCCTCTAAGTGAACGAAATCTATCCAACAATCTAAGCCAATGGACCGCTGTCTTGGCCTTGTGAATACTCCCAATCACTACAAAATAAAAGCCGTCTTTTCTTTAAAGTTCGATGTTGTCGCTTAAGGTAACCGGACGTTTAGATCAGAAGACAGACGAGGACTACCCAACAACGGCAAATGCGGTTTCATGTTTTGGTAGACTTTTTTCGGGTGGTATAGCTCGGTAAGTCAGATGGATATCTAGTGAACTAAAATCCGAATATTTTCGCTTTTGGGTTTATAAATGGCTACGTCTCTTAAGCCCTCCTGCGGACTACTTATAATACGGGCTATTATCCGGTATCTTGCTGGTACCTACCATTCCAACTTGTCTGGTTAATTCACACTGAACCCCCTTTATGTATGAATTGTAAAATGATGTATTACGTTCCACGCCCATTCCCGCATTCAACCATTCAACCTTTGACCTGACTTTTTGTACAATCAGGCATTCTTCCTTCACCCCTCACTACCCGCTCGTAATGTTCCGGCTTGTTTAAAAAGTGACAAATTCATGTCTAAGCGCATGATAAGCTCGGCTTAACCCTCCCCTCCCACGCACCGGGCATGCTGTCATGAGGCTAAGTCCACGTGTGTCATGCACGAAGGACTCACGTAAGCTTACTACAGCTCGATCGGCGCATGCCGGCAGCTAATGTCGCTTTCTTTTGGCTCAACGCATGAGGTGCCATCCTAAGGGAGGGTAGGTAGTTATAAGTCAGTGCGGCCGCTTCCGTCTTCTACACGATTGCCTAGACCCCCACAGTTGTCCGCTGGCTTGGAGCTGTGGGGCCCGATTTTGGCGCTAGCGGTAGCAGTGGTCGAACTACTTTCGGCTGACTCACTTTTGGCTGCAACGGAGGCCATACAGAGGAACGTGCATACGGATGACCGTTTCGACTTCCCGCATTAGCGGCCTACCAGAAACCGCCGTCGTCGTCACCTGTTGTTAGACTTCTTGGCGCCTCCTTGGCGAGGCCAAGGCATCGGGAGACTGTTGTAGTCTGGTCAAACCACCGTTTCACCCAGTGTCGACCCACCCCGGGGCACAACCTTATTAGCGCACGTCTGTTCACGCCTGTGTACGCGATTCATTATTGCGCATGCGTGGGCGCACAAACGTGTGTTTGACATCGAGGTTATCTTAGCCAGCGTCGTGTCGCACACATACACCCACACTTCTTGGTCATCATTTGGGCTTGAGGGCTAGCGCGGACAAGAGATGAAGGAGGAAAACGGTCTGTCCGAGGGTGTTCGGGGGGTGGGGGCGAGAATTCCCTCACCACAAGGTCGTGGCGCCAACAACAGCAGCTGACTTTGCGTTGCTCTCCCCGTAGACCTGACGACGCCACCGTCCGAAGGCAGGCGTGTCTGTGGATGGAGCTATACCACCCCCTTTGAGCGACTTGACGGCACGTGAGTGGATGGCGGTCACCAGCCGCCTCAATCTGTTGATGGTAAGCCAACAATCACACCAAGCGTTCTGTCCGATCGCTCCTTGCTCTCTCCACTCCCTCTTTCTATCTCTCTCTCTCTCTCTCCCGCATCACCACTCTGCTCTCTCTTTTCGTGTGTGCGGTGTGTGCCACAGTCTGCCCACTTGTGTGTGTGTGTGTGTGTATGTGTGGAGTGGCGGGCTGGGGGCTGAGAGCCAGGCTGAAGTGGCTCCTTCTAAACGTAACCTACGGCACTCTAACGTATGTGAGATGTTCGCCGCGCAACTCCCGTTGTGTGAAAGCATGCTGCTTGTGTTTGGGGGGCCTGGTAGTGCATGCGGCGCGCGCAGACAAGGTCACTAGATATCTCAGCCACCGAGCCCATTCCCCGTACCTGTCAACTGACCCGCTCGGACATTGACTGGGGCCTGGGAATGGGAATGGAGAGTGAGGTCGATGGCCCAGTGCATTTCCTCACTATAAACCATCTGACGCGCTTAAAGCTATCACGGTGCGCTTAAACACGGGGCTTGCAAAGTAGCCAACTGACAGGATAACTTGGACCTCGCAGTCAGTCCAGTTTTGTGTGTTTGTGTTGAGCGGCCGTCTGGTGTTCTAGGAATCAGGCTGCAATGGTTCCTTCTTAATATGGCTTTTTTGGTACTCCCACTCCATGGGGCCCGACCCGGACGTGACGGCAGGTCTAGGCCCGTCTCCGGCCGCGCCGGCCCCTTTTGTTGTTATTGTTGTTGTTATTTATAATCCTAGTCATTTGTCGTGTGGACCATGGAGTAGGGAGTGGAACGTCAAAGTGCGGGCTCGACCGTGCCATCCTCCTCCACCTTCCCCGCCTCCGGTCTTCTTGACTAGGTCTTGACATCGGGTCCAGGTGGGTGAAGAGGTAGGGGTGTGGTAAATTCTGTGTAAGTCCACTGCCACCATAAACTAATTCATTCAGAAGTCACCGTCCCTGCTCCACCTTGTTGTGGAGCACACGGTGGACATCGTCGTGTGCTACCGGAGATGTACATGACAGCGCGCCGTTGGTATACCTAAATGCACCCACGTGATTAACAGTCATCTCTTTTTGTTTTTGACTGGCAGTGCACGGTGTCCCGTGTCTGTAAAAGTCCTAAACCTTCGAGAAAATCCAATGAGGAGAAGTATACTTTCTGATTCCGAAAAAGTGTCACTTTGTCGAGTGGGGTTCTGCGCCACTGCCAACTACAAGCTCACGATGCTTTTCTCTAAGATGCTCACTTACTTTCAACCCAACCCGCCACTGCTTTTAAAATTCCTTCTGTCTCTTATTTTGGATATGAGCCTATTGGATGGAGTCTGCGTTTAATTCCGTGCAAGGTACTAACTAGCTAATGTTTCATTGGTCAGAGGTCACTAGCCTAACCTGGGGTGGTTTGTTTGTGCTCTCGTTCAGCTTTGCAAAGAGACCTTTGTTCTGCACCTCTCGACCCTTTGTCCTCTTTGGTATTAGGTGCATGTTTACGTGCGCTTTCACCTCCAGATGAAAGCTTCTATTCTGCCCAGATTTTTCCAGCACTTAACAGTTTAGGACCTCGCATCTTCACTTCATTCCGAGAAAAGGCTTGAACAACCGCCCATTCCGAAACCCTGCAGCGCCAAATTAGATTTTAAAAGCACAAGACACCAAATCTTCTACAATGCATCTTTCCACCGACTTTCTGACTCTCGTGCTGAAATGAGAACCTATTCCCTGATCCATAAGCCCTCGACTGTTCACTTTCCATTCTATAGTCAAAACCTTTTACCAGCAAGGACAATACAGATTTGAAAGGTCATGTTCAGTATTTTTTGCCGTCATCATCGTCTCTGATGATGGATTCGAGTGAGAATCCGAAACGTCAGGTCAATAAATTTCTTGTTCCAGTGATCGCATCTTCGTCTTCTGAGCCAGCTATATCTCAATCAAAGCCCAGAAAAAAATAGATTTTGTATGTCGACCCGGTTTGTCACTGGTTTTAACGCTCCATTAGCAGAGCGAAATCTCAGACCGAAATCCAGAGCAAGTCGAGTAACCCATATCATGCCTAACCATCTGGCTAACTCCAGTTTGAACCTACGTGATTAGTTTTGTTGTTTTTTCTGTCGTTCGCTTTGAGTTTTCTATGGTGATTCGAGAGATTTCTGACCAACGATTAGTTTCGGCTTTCCCCAGCGCACACAGTTTCCTAGCTTGACAACCAAAACCAACACGTATGGACTATTGGCTATGTGGCTTCGGTTTTTAAATAATTCACAATTCTTTTGTTTCGAAGTCCACATAATCTGTATGTCATCTAGGTCATCCCTTAGAGCGGCACCCCCGCCTCAACAGTCACCCTGAGACTTGGAACACCCCCTCAGTGGACTGAGCACGACGACCCGTGGTTGGTGAGGTTCCACACGAAGTGTCATATTTTACAGTCTGCCCATCTGTTCAGCAAATCTCTTTTTGTGTCCGGCGTGCGTGTATACAGTGACTGGCGGGATCTTCAGAAACCCATGGAGCATGATTAGGGAGGGCGATTTTTTGGGGGAGGGGGAGGGGGAGAGGTTGGTGTGTGAAACCTCAGACGGGACGGGGAGATTGTGTGCGTGTGAAACAAATATCGTACCGACTAAGACGGGGCCCTTAGGGC